GAAAGAGTGATTTTCTCTGTGCTTCTTTTCCTGCAGAGCAGAGCTCAGCCCGCTCCCCCTGATTGGGGCTCCATGCAACAATGTTTTTGATGTTGCAGAAGACCAGCGGGAAGCTCGGAGCATCCTTGACCGAGAGGAGCCGTCCGCTCCCCCCAGGCAGGGGCCAGCAACGGCGCCAGGCAGCTGCAGGGCAGAGCCCTGTGCTGGAGTAGCAGATAACCCTTGACAGATGTGCAGCCAGCACAAAGCAAAAGGAGCAAGAGAGAAGGAGGGAAAACAGCTGGAAATAGCAAGAGCTTAGAAGTGATCACGATTTATGCAGCAAATTAATGGCAACAAAAAGTCGTGATCCCTGCAAAGCTTTGCAAATCCCCCTGCTATCTTTAGCTGTTGGCTCTGGAGGTGGTTTGCCAAACCAGTTTTCCAGCTGGGATGATGCTAGGTTTTTTGGGTTTTTTTTTTTCACTCCCTCCCATGCTCAACACCTGCTTCAAGCAGTGGCTGGTGTAAGGTCAGCTAGTACCCAGCTCTGGCCAGGCTGAGCATAGAATAAAAGCTGGGGTCAGGGCTGAGGCACAAGCAATGCATTTGCTTCCCAGCACTGACCCTGACGGTCGTCTTGTAGGAGGCTTCCTTCCCTGTGAGCAGAACTTCACGTATTCAATGGCTGCGGCGGTGGGCTCCGGATAGTCTCTGTTAGCAGTGATTCTTGCAGCCAGACACCATCAAATGCAAATACTAAGGGAAGGAAGCAAAGCCACCAGGGTCTTTGCAGTACAGCTGGGGCTGGGGACCCAAGACTCATAGCATTCAAGGTAGTGTCATCCCTCTCAACCAAAACAAATAGCAACGTATGCTTCAGTCCCAGCTGAATGACATCAGCAACACATACATATATAAAGTGCTTTATTGCAGCATCAGAATAAAGAATTCTTCTCTATGAAATTCTGTAGGAATAAAAGACATTTTATATATATTATATATAAAAACCACAATAAACTTAAGGAGGGGAAGCTTAGAGATTCATCACTTAAATAGTAGTGGGCTGGACAGAATCTTTGATGGGATATAAAAATAAACGCTTGCTTAATGTCTACTTTTCTCATGGTGCCCCGCAAAGCCTCCTGGTGTGTAAGGTGCTTATGTGAGGAACAACACTGCTTCTTGTTTCTCATGCTCCAGTTCATGCCTGTATCATCCAAATCATAGAGGCAGCGAGGCAGAATAGCCACTCAGTTTTCAACCAGCTTTTGCGGGTGGGGGGTGTCAATGCAAGAAATGTTGCTGCTTGCCCTTGGACGGGAACTCCATTTATTACAGGAATTATAGTTTCTTTTTTGGGGGTTAGACTGGTTGACATACCCAGTACAAAGAGGAGGAGGGTGCAAATCCTGGGTAACAGCCCTTATTATAAGAGCACTTCTTCAGAGAGCAGCCAGTCTAACAAATTGGCTGAGCTATTCAAAGTCTCCTTCACAAAAGGCTGTTTGCAGAGGTCCTGCTTCCATGTGTGGGTCCAATACTGGACACCAGGCACATTTAACGGGAGGTTGTTTTAAAGAAGTCTGTCCACTTATGGTAAATAAGTTCCTCTGAGAGTCTGCTGATGTTAATGACAATGTATGATATGGGAGAGAAAATACAAAGATGCTCTGCCAAATGACAGAAGATAGGAAGCTCATCCTTCCATGGCCTCGGCTGCTCAGTTTGACTGCTTCCCATACAAATGCCTCGATGTCTGTTGCTGAGCCTCCCTGCACACATCCCAGGCTCCCAGAACTAAGCCACCAGAACACTGCCACCCTCCCTTGAGCACCTCTTTATGACCTACCTCTTTACAGGAAACTAGTGAACAAATTACCATTTGGGCTAGGGGACATGTAATGGTCATGAAAATTCACCACGGTCTGGGTCTCCATCCATGCTTATTTGGTTGTGTCTTCCTTACCATCCTTTACATAACATTGGTCATCTCAGACTGCATGCCTGTTGGGAAATGGATGGTGTCTGCCTATCTTTTGACAGCACCCTTAACTGGAGTCTGGGGATACGAGTGTGGAATAATAGTTAAATAAGAGTAATTCAGTGATAACTTCATTAATACTTTTGTTTTACCAGCAATGAAGTCTTAGGTACTGATGACCAAACATGCAATATTCTATCAGTAACCAAGGCAAAAGGATCAACATGCACTCAATGTACATAAGACACTTGCAGAAAGACTCCCCAGAGAGCTATCAGACTGTGGATATTCACTGGCCCTGGAGAAAGCTCCTGCAAGAAGGACAGACCTAGCACAGGACAGTCAACCAAGGACCTCTTCACCTGGACAGATATTTTTTTTGTCCAACAGTGTCCTGCAGGAAAACATGAGGTAGCCAACAGCCTTGGGTGAAACCTCTAGTCTATAAATGACTCCATTCTTCTTTACGTGTGCTTGACTTGCTCTTTTATTTCCTCTGATGCATAAAATTTGCTAAATAAAAGCTATGAACAGTTTCTGCCAGTTTCAGCGACTGAACGTCCAGCGATAAAGGTGCTCAGCCTAGTTTCTCCGCAGGAAACCTGGAAGCCCCCAGAATATGTGGGGAGAAACTGCCATGGACCCATGAAAAGCTGAATAAAACCCAGGCAAGACCAAAGCGCCAACAGAGAGCATCATGATCTGCAGACACCAGGTATTGGCATTATTAGCACGTGTGTGTCTTCCTCCTTTGGAGCCACCCTTGCTCACCTGGCCAGACAGCAAGCCTGAGGAGCGCAAGGTGCGCCCACGACTTGCTTTCTCTGGGCTGCCTCTTGCTGAGGACCTGGGCAGACACAGCATGGAGCAGGACCCAAGGCCAGCAGCAGACCAGAGAGGAGAAGCACTGGGTGCTGCCAGCAGTGTCTAACTTGCTCCCATCCCCACGGGGAACTTAGCTTGGTGCTTTTTGCTCCTCTCTCCAGCAATGGCATGAGCAGTGGCCAAGCTGCCTCCTGCTCCCGGCAGGGCTGTGGGTGGGAAACACAGGACTTTCTGCTGGGCCGTGTCACGGGTGCTCCCGAGCACTGAAACCCACGAGGGGTCTGCTGGGGAGCCGAGGCGTGGAGGCAGGCTGGTGGTGGGACTTGCATGGGTGCTGTCACCCTGCTCCCCCAAGCACTGAGGCAGAGGGGCTGAAACGCACAGAGGTAGTGTTCCCCCCCATGGTGACCTCCTCTTAGGTCCACCCATGTCTGGCTTTGGCGCCCCGTGCTCCCTTTCGCAGCCAAAACTGCAGCGGCATGGCAATCTGGCCAAGGGAGCAGAGTCGGCCAGTCTCCTCCTGCCCCACACACCCCTCGGACCCATGAAACCCTGCTAAGCCTCTCCCTGCTCCTTCCCAACCATGCATGCAAAAACCCAAAGGGAGGGGAGGCTCCGTTCTGTACCCATGGCTGGGACAGCCCTGCCCCTCCCCAGGAGGACCTACCCCCAGCTTCAGAAGTCGAGGAGCATGTGCCAGGGCAGGTGTGCCGGCAAGGCCAGGCAGCTCTGCCTGCAGCAGGCCAGCTCCTCAGATGCAGCGTGAAGCCAGCAGGAGCTGAGGCCATTTCACCCTGCAGACGCTCAGCTCTCAGGTTGCACTGAAAGATCGTAGAGAATAAAAGCAGATGGGAGCAGCCCCCCCACCCCGTTCCCTTTACGCCTCCCATCCCCTGCGGCTCCCTGTGCCAGCCCGGACACCCTGGGGTGCGGGACCACCCCGGGTGGCACGGCAGGGATCGCACCGCAATAACCTCTGGCACCCTCGGAAATCCGAGGAGGGCTGAGGCATCCCTGTGAGGGGTTGATATAGATGCCACAGCCTCCCCGCTCTGCCCAGCGCCAGCAAGGAGCCCATGAGCAGGGCCGGTGCGTCGCCAGGCTGGGCCAGGGTGGGAGCCGGCAGTGGCCATGGCTCCTATGAGCGTGGCTGCGGCTAGTACTCCTTGGCCTCCTGCAGCTGGGAGAGGTACTCCTCCTCGGCGGGGTTGGCAGCACACCGTCGCCCGTTGTTGGGGGGCCGGACAGCATGGTAGCGGCTCCAGTCGCCCTTGCAGAGGATCCAGGGCAGCATGTCCACCTTGTAGTGCAGCTCTGGGGAGAACTCGGTGCTGATGAGGTTGGGGACACCGGCCCCCTTGCCGCGGGTGATGAGGCGGGTGTGCTCGTCGTAGCAGCAGTGCTGGGCAGCCAGGGTGGTGCTGTCGAGGGAGAGCATGGAACGCAGGCAGAAGCGTGCCGTCGGCTTGTAGATGTCCAGGCGCTCCTTGGGGCCGCTGGCATCCCGCCATCGGAAGCTCTTGCCCTGCTGCTCATCCTGCAGGTTGACGGCACTGTAGACGGCCTCCAGCGGGTAGGAGCAGGGGCAGCTGGGCAGATCCGTCAGCACCTTGCTCAGGTACTTGGTGAGGAAGTCGCTCTTGCAGTTCAGCCACTTCTCACAGCTGTCCACCTCTGGGGGGAAAGGCACCAAAAGGGTGAGGGCTTTACCCAGCTGCCATTTGCCCACAGCCTCGCCAGCACCACCAGCAGAGCCTGCAACTGCCAGGCAGGAGCAGCCAGGCTCCTGGGACGAGCTGGAGCCAGGCTCCATCCCTGAGGCAGTGGCAGAGGGAAGGGTTTTCGTGCTGGGGCAGAGCTGCCCCTTGCAGGGGCTTTGCCCGGGGCACCCATCGCTACAGGGGCCGGGCTGGCAGCATCCCCGCCATGGGAGAGGGCACGTGGCAGGCTGGCCTCAGCCGCTGCACTGTAAAGCAGGACCGCATTGAGCCAGGGCTGTGGGAGGAACTGGGTTTTCCAGCATGACTGCCGAAGCCTGGACGGGGCAGTGGCTTGGGTGACCAGACCAGATGTGGTGACCCACCAGATGTGGGAGCCCTTGGCAGAGCCCTCCCCAGCAGCCAGCTACACCCCCCGTAGCGCCTGGCACCCAAGCCCCCAGTGCAAGGCAGAGGCAGAGGCTGACCTGAGTTGAACAGCTCTGTGGTGTTGTCGCTTTTGAAAGGTGTCTCCTCTGTGGGGAAGACCATTTCTCCCTCTGCTCCTTGAGAGGGGAAAAAAAAAAAACAAACCCAGAGAGCCAGGCTGAACACAGGAGGAGAGGTGGGTTTTCTCCTCTGTAAGGGCACCAGACACCATCCATCTTCCACCCCCTCTCCCGCCACTACTTTGGCAACACGGCCCTGTGCCTGGAAGGAAGGGCCAGCAGCAAGACACGCAGGACAGACCCACCCAAGGCTTTGGGTTATGCAAATCCCAGTGGCTGGAGCCAGCTCCCAATATGCCTCAGGAGAGGATTTCAAGCTCCCAGTATGAGAGGTGCAAGGAATTCTACACCGAGCTTGACACCAGCTCTAACACCCTTGGGCACCACATGGCCTGGGGACTCATGAAGCCCCATCAGAGCTTCTTTGTGGAAACAAACCCCCGTGGTCATTAGCCCAGATCACATTAAACATAACTACTTCTTGAACCATGAGCAATGGCCAGCCTGCAGCAGCCAGGGATCAGCCCACACTGGGGTCAGACAGTGCCCAAGCACTGGCACGGCCGAGGGCTCACCAGGGCAGCGCAGCAGGTCGCAGGTCCTCGACTCCGTCGCTGTGCAGGCGTAGCCACAGGACCGCGTCCTCTTCTGGTTGCCACTGCCACAGGTGATGCTGCAAGGGGACCATGGGCTCCATTCCTCCTCATCTTCATATTCTGTGCACAGCAGGGGAGAGGCAGAGAGTGGTGGACCTCAGCAAAGCCTCAGCAGGAGGGGAGCCGGCAGCCACCCAGGACCTCCCTCAGCTCTGCCCTGTCCCTGGGATGTCCTTTATGGGGACTCAGGGCCAGGGCTGCCCAGGGCACAAGGAGATGCCCAGCCACATGATGCCCAGGGCCAACCCTGTCCTCGCTGGCAGCCCCAGGGAAGCAGCCCCCAAGCGAAGGCTCTCATTCTCACAGCTTTGCTCGACCGATCCAGACAGGCATCGCTGCCCATCCTCACCCTCACCAAACCTGCCCAGTGCACTGGCCATGATGCTGAAGCATCATGTGTTAGCAAAGGTTGACTGGTTTTGGGCTCGTGGCCAGGAAGCCGCAGGAGGGAGCTGCTGTGGTGCCCTGGCCTGTCCACCCACCCGCACCTGCCATCTAGCCCTCTCACAGCTCCTCTCCTGGGGGGTGCCCAGGTCTGTGGCAAAGGCTTCTGGCACTGGTGTCACTGCAGGGACATGAGTCAATGGCAGCAGCACTTGCCATTAAATATTTACACCGTATTTCTCATCGGAGCATGCCTTCGCTAGAGTCCCCGATCCAGTCTGATTACATGCAAGGGCAATTCCAGCTGGGACACTGGCATGTCTGACCGCTGGCAGCCCCAGCTGAGTGTGGGCCTTGCTCCTGGGCATGCTTGCTTATTTTTTAAGTAGGAGCTGAGCACCAGCGTGCTGTGATCCCTGGTGCAGGGCTGCTCCCCCTGCAGACAGGGCTGCGGGTCAGGCAGGGCAGGGGATGGCAGCGCCGGTCTGCAGGGCAGCTGTGTGTGCCCAAGAGGACTCACCATAATTATATTTTTCCTTAAAGATCCAGTTCTTCTGCCCAGGCCACCGCTGGTCCCAGTCACCTCCTACTCCACTGAGCATGGACTCCTCCTCCTCATACTCTGCTGTGTAATCTTCCTCCTCCTCTTCCTCTTCCTCTTCCCTGTCCCCTACATCCAGGTTGTCATCCTCTTCCTCCTCCTCCTCCTCCTCCTCAGCAGGGTCGGTATATTCCCAGAAGAGGGGCCAGAAGAGATCCTTGTGGGACAACCACTCAGAGGACGTCAGGGACCAGTCATTGCTTGTCTCCTTCAACAAGTCCATCTCCATCTCGGCCTGAGGATCATCCACCACTTCAATGGTCACCTGGAGGCCAGATACGAGGCAGGGCAGTGAGCTGGGCACAGCCCTGGCACAGCCCTACCAGCCCATGCGCTGGTTCCCAGCACAAGAGGCCAGAGATGCTTTGGGCTACAGAACCACGCGATGAGTGCAAGAGGTCTCGCCTCATCTGGAGGGACTGAGCAGGGGCAGAGCGGGAGGTGCAGGGGGTCTGGTGGTCACCCACAGGGACCAACACCACCCTCAGAAACTGAGAAATCACCCCCGTAGGACCATGTGCTCCTGCTCTATGGAGAGGGGCTGTGACGGGGCAGGGAAAAGGCCATGAGCAAATTCCTCTGGCAAGGAGCTTGTCTGTGCCAGCTATTTGCATCTGGTAGTTACCAAGAAGACAGACGACAGTGGCCACGCGGACCCCGCTCACGAGATCTTTTCTCTTAGGGAACCAAATGAGGCTGGGGAGCATGTGCTCACCCACATACCCCCACAGCCTGCCCAGACCTGCTCCCCACCTGGATGTTG